GACAGGGTTTCTCTGTATAGCTTTGCGCCTTTCCTGGATCTTGCTCTGTAGACCAGGCTGGCCTCAAACTCACAGAGATCTGCCTGCCTCTGCCTCCCCAGTGCTGGGATTAAAGGCGTGCGCCACCACGCCCGGCCAGTTAGTTGTATGCTACAATCTTTTCTTACTTCTTGCTTTGTATTGAGTTAATTTGAAATACTGTGCTTTTTAGTTCTAGGTAATTCATTGTTTCTTTATAGCAGATTTCTCTTTTGAAATTCTGTAGTGCCACTGCCACTTATTTTCTTTGTTGGTAGTGCTGGAGCAATTGAACTTTGTGTATTCCCAGCTCATTGTTTTTTCCAAGTATTTGTCACAGTTAATATCCTAGAAGTGTTGATTTTCTTTTTCCTCTCTTTATAATTCTTGAGAGCTTGTTTGGAGGTTCTAGCAGGGGAGCTCAGCTACTCGTATATCCTTGACCGAAGACCGGTCCTCCTCTATTCGGGGAAGGTCGTCCTCTTCGACCGAGCGCACAGCTTGGGGAGGGACGCACATGGAGCGGTGAGGGAGGAAGGGGACACCCGCTAGCCAGCCAGATCAGAGGAATCAACCCTGGCGATCAATGGGGTGACAGGTGTCGCAGCCAGATCGCCCTCACATCCTCTCTTTATAATTCTTAGTCCTGTATTCCCAGTTTTTTTTTTTTAAACAATTAAGCCTAGTATTTGTTTTATTTATGTATTTACAACATTTTGTATAAAAGAACTGAAGAGGCTTGACAGGGTAACTTTCATTCTTTTTCTTCATAAAACACAAAATGTTTTTCTTTATAAAACATTCACTGACTTTTCCTGCTTCTTTTTATCTAGCCTGAGAACTAAGAATGTCCTTTACCTTTTTAAATGCCTGGAAAAAAAAATGCCTCATATTTTGAATTTAAAAAAATTCAGTGAATTTCAAATTTTACTATCCATAAAGTCTTAATGGATCAAAGCCATGTTCATTAGTTTTGTACTATCTATGTCTATTTTTTGAACTATAATACTAGAGTCAGAATTAGATAAGATAGCTACGATGGAGATCGTATGGCCTGCAAAAGCTTAAAATAATTATTGTTTGGCTCTTAATAGAAAATGTTGGCCTGCCAACTCTTCATCTTCTGTTTATTGGAATGTTGATCTGTTGCTATGTTTTAGGTTCCTGAAATCCTTGCATGCAAAGATAAGGCTGTGACTAGTAGTTGGAGTGCTGGTGCTTTGAACTTTTTTTGAAGTGTTACCACAAATTGCTGGTAGCTTAATAAGAACCAAATCAGTGCCATCCAATTCTCCTCCAAGTTGTCAGTTACATTTTTAGTGCAGGTCTGAATCAGTACTTTTATTCAGTGCTGCTGAGTTCAGTAATTCCATTTTTGCTTTATGATGCCTTTCAAATATTAAACATTAACCGAATTGGTCTTTACTCCTAAATTAGTGTTTTTAATCTTTGTGACTAAATGGGGAACATTTTTTCACATATACTTGATTTCAGCATAGGCGCTAATATATCCTGTTGTTACTAAACTTGACTTGACATTGAGAGATGACTTGCCAGACACAGTAACACAGTTCTCATTAAATTTTTGTTTTGGAAAAAGGGTATTTTTAATCTTGTGTATATTATACTATATAATGTATTAATTGCCAGGCATTAAGTACATTTCTTTTGGGTTTCTCTGTGTAGCTTTGTCCCTTTCCTGGATCTCGCTCTGTAGACCAGGCTGTCCTCACAAAGATTCGCGTGGCTCTGCCTCCCAATGCTGGGATTAAAGGCGTTCACCACCAGCGCCCCCCTAAGAACATCTCTCTTTTTATCTGCACCAAGTTTTAAATACATTTAGCCTACTTAAGAAACTGTGGCATGGGTGGTGATGGCCGCTGCTGCCTTATTCTCCTGTTTTCTGCTAGTGGAGTTGAATTCATGACATCATCTATGCCTGTCACATGGTCTACCATTGAACCTAACTTAATTGTTTATGAGTATAAAATGATCATTTTATATCTAAAATCTACTGATCTAGTAATTAGATTTCTTCATACATCATAGGTATGTAGCAGTTTGGCCATTGTTTTTACTAAAGGTCTCTTTAGAAACACAGTTGGATATAGGGCTTTAGGTAATTGCAATCTCACTGATAATAATTATACTTAAGATTACCAGCTTCAGTGTTTATGAGACACCCCTTGCATGGCATATTTGCCTGTTCTACTCTCTGTATGTGATAATGTTTCTGAGATAGACTTGGTGTATAGCATTTCATCCTTTTTTAAGTGAAATTAGGAACTACTTGAGATTCTTTTCATCAATTACTTTTTAAAAAATTATGTATTTAGCACAAATGATACACCTGCTTTACTGATACTAATATTTAGTTTAGAATGTAGAAGTTGTATTCTTTTGAACATGTCTGTGCATTTTATTTTCAGGTGGACTTTTAATTATTGCAAGGTAGTAGGCAGCAATTATGTAATTTGTTAGCTACGTACAATAAAAAAGTCCTTTTTAAGGGTTATGTCATCAGGAAGATCACTGAACCTTAATTATAATAAACTTGTTTTGCTGTAAATTTCATATAGGTTGGAAATTATGTTCAGATATTTTTGTATCCAGATTTATATATTTTTTTTTTTTTTTTTTTTTTTTTTTGGTTTTTTCGAGACAGGGTTTCTCTGTGTAGCTTTGCGCCTTTCCTGGGACTCACTTGGTAGTCCAGGCTGGCCTCGAACTCACAGAGATCCGCCTGCCTCTGCCTCCCGAGTGCTGGGATTAAAGGCGTGCGCCACCACCGCCCGGCTCAGATTTATATATTTTAAAACTTAATGATAACTGGGTTTAAAAGCCCACTGTGCAAATACTATGAATAGGAAAGCATCTATGAAGAGACAATATATATTGGTAGATTTTACTCATTTGTTTACCATCCTGAGGATCAAACCCTTGTGAATACTAGGTATGTACTGTAGCACAAACCCCAACATTGATTTTAATTTTGAGTGCTGTAATGAATTTGCATAATGGAATTGAGGCTTAAAAAAAACCACTTCAGTAGCCAGCACCTGCTAATGTAGTTAGAACTACAAAGGTTGTTTGTTTTTGTGTTGAATACTTCAAATGCATTATTCTGCCTGTCTTAATTTTGCTTCCTTTTCTCTACTATTTGTTTTCTATTTAATCCTGGTGTGTATATTTAAAGAAACATAACATTCTTTTGATACCCAGATACCATCATTAAGAAATTTTTATTGGACTAAAATTATACTCACTACATTCATTTCTTTGAAAGCGCAGATATGGCAAAGCAAACAGTTCCTGTTGGTTTTTGGTGATTTGAATTTTTCTGCTAACTTGTTTAAGTTAGAAAGGCATAAACCAAGTAATTGAGGTCATGTTAAGGCTGAGCAGACACAGTAGCTCTCCTTTGAGTGTTTAAGTGGCATAGACTTCAGTTTGCTTTTCTTTTTTCTTTTTGCCTTATAATGTCTGTCTCCAGGAGTGAGTATTCCTTTAAGGTTTTCTGTATTATATCTTTTATTTCTATATGGTTGGAGAAACATTTGTTTTGAAATCTGATCTTAGAGTACTACTGAGCCATCTCCCCAGCTCTTCAATGTTTATTATAATTTTTAAAAAAGATTAAATTTTTTCCCCTCATGTTTGTGAGTGTTTCTACATGTTTCTGTGCACACATGTGTGGATGAATACCTGAGGAGGCCAGAAGAGGTGTTAGATTGTCTGGAGTTGCAGTTATCCATGCTTATGAGCTGCCTGACATTGCTGCCAGAAATGTTGGAGTCTCTGGAAGAGTAATAGTATTCTTAAGTGCTGAGCTGTGTCTCCAGCTCTCAGTGTTTAAAAGTAATGCCTTCTATTCCTTTGAAGGTTCCAAGGCCCAACAGCTTCTTCAAGGACTACAAGCGAGTGATGAGAGTCAACAGCTTCAGGCAGTCATTGAAATGTGTCAGCTATTGGTTATGGGAAACGAAGAGACTCTAGGAGGGTTTCCTGTGAAGAGTGTTGTTCCAGCTTTGGTAAGCATACTTACTATTTTTCTGTTGGTTTACTTTGCCTATATGCATGCTGTACAAATAAATACTCTATCTTAATGAGCTGTAAACCCAGCTTGAGTTTGTAAATATTTTTGCGCCAAGTTTTTGTTGAAGTCACTCGTTTGATCTTCATTACTTAAATGGTTTAAAGTTATTCAGCCCATCAGTAATGCTTTGTTTCTACACTGTAAAAAAATGTGTTAGGGTTTATTGTTCAATTTCCCAGTTTTTGGGCTAATAATAAGTGAACTTATTTTGGGTTGTCTTTGTGGTTGAGAAAGATTGAGTGTTTATTACTCAATCCCAGCTTGACATAATCTACAATCACTTGGGAGGGATCTTTGATCATCTTGGCCTGGGCTCATGTATTGGGGAATTGTCATCTTTATATTAACTTGAATACACAGCCTATGTGGGCTCTACCATGTCCTACACAGGGCATCCTGGACTTTATATACTGAGATGGTACTGAACAGGAGTAAGCATAAACACATTAACTTCTGTTTTTCACTGTTGTTGTGATTGGCTAAGTTAAGTCCATGCCTTGACTTCTCTGGAATGATGAACTCTATGCTATACTTGTTAACTGACGTATAACCCTTTATTCTCTAAGTTGCTTTTTTTCAGGGTATTTTATCATAGCAACAGAAAGGAGATTAAAACAATTGACATTTATTAGTCATCCCTTTTGGTGTAAGGGAATGTGTTACAGCTGATTGATTCCATCTTTCAATTAGGAAACTTGGTGTTTCCTATGAAAGCCTTTTGAATTTACATGTGTTTTCTAAGTGACTGATTTAGATGGTGAATGTGTGTAAATGTTTTAGTTTTGAAGAACTTTTTCAAGGCATGTATTATACATATTTATTTACCCGAGAAGTCATGGGTATTGTATATCTTTTATTATCACCATTTAATTGAATGGTACTTGATACCTGAAGTACAGTGCATTTAAAATTTTCCAGTTTTGCATTCCTTCTTTTGACAAAAATAGCTGCAATTTCTGTGAAGTCTTTTTCAAATGAGAAAATAATGTAAATTCTGATTTTTGGACTTATTTATTTGTGAAATAATTACATTGATCTCATTTATTAATTGTAGTGTCTAATATATTCAATCCTATTTTCAAATCACATTTTACTGTATGATTAACATATTGCTATATTGGTACTTATTTCAGATGTACACAGAATGTAAACTGGTCTGTGTTAATAATAATTCAGCAAATACCAGTCATTGCTGGTGCTAATGATGTGTCAATTGGTAAATCCTCTGTTAATGGGCTTCTTTCAAGGATATTAGAACTACTAAAATGGTTGGTTTTAAGCAACAGAAATGATGATTTCTTTAAGTTGATGCCTTATAACAGCATTGCCAGTCCATAGCTGTTGCATGTAATGAATGATATCCTAAGCATAATAATTCTGATGTATGCCTTGCTGTCGTGTGTGTGTGTGTGTGTGTGTGTGTGTGTGTGTGTGCGTGTGCGTGTGTGCGTGTGCGTGCGTCTGTGCGAGCTCGCATAAGGAACAAATTCTTCTATCAGATAAATGCAAGAAATATTTCAACAATGTGCTTAATACTTTGTTATGTTTTTAACAGATAACATTACTGCAGATGGAACATAATTTTGACATTGTAAGTACATCATGTATTTTTAAAGGCACTCTAAACATTAATATGAGTATTTATTGAATAAAATCTCATCTTGTTTTCTAGATGAATCATGCTTGCCGAGCCTTAACCTATATGATGGAAGCACTCCCTCGGTCATCTGCTGTTGTCGTAGATGCTATCCCTGTCTTCTTAGAAAAGGTAGTCATGATTTCGTACAACTTGTTCATAAGTGCACAGGAGTTTTGAATTCTTTAATTCATTTCTATGATGTAATTGAAGTCTGTGTTTTCAATCAATATACCAGAAAAAAACATTTTATCTATAACAGACTAATAGTTTAAAGTAGAAACTAATAAATCATTTACGAAATAAGCACAATTTTATGATTTGAATGATAGTATTGAATATATTAATATCAGAGAACAGCATAAAGCATTTTATTAAAAAATAATATATTGGGGGCTGGTGAAATGCCTCAGTGAGTAATAGTGCTTATAGGGTAAACATTCTGACCTGAATTTTTATCATCTCTGGAATACACATAAAAAAGCCAGGCACAATGCTCTCAGCACCTGTAAGATAGAGGATAGATGAGACACAAGACACTTGAGACCTGATTGTACACAGTGGAAGGTCTTCTACATGTGTTCCATAGCATAAACACATCACAATCGTAAAAATAAGAGTTAGGAGAAAAATAGTTCAGTAGAATTGATAGCTATTTATAATCTCATTTGATAGCTGATAAGTTTGAGACAAAGGATCTTGCTTATGTTCACAGAATTGACCAGTGGAGAAAAGAAATTTTTCATATGTAGGTTGTATGTAAATTTTCAATAGTAGGTTGTGCTTTTGGTGTATATTACTTTTTTTTTTTTTTGGGTTTTTCGAGACAGGGTTTCTGTGTGTAGCTTTGCGCCTTTCCTGGAACTCACTTGGTAGCCCAGGCTGACCTCGAACTCACAGAGATCCGCCTGGCTCTGCCTCCCAAGTGCTGGGATTAAAGGCGTGCACCACCACCGCCCGGCACTCTAATTTTTTTAATGAGTAATGATAAAATTTAATTACTCTGAAATATACTCAAATTTTAAGCCTGGTTTAAAAAAATTGTTACATGTATCAACTCATTTGTTTTAAAATAGAAGTTTTGTCTTATGGTAATATATTTTCAGTATCCTGAAACTGAGTAAATTGTTGGGAGGAAACTGCCAGCTATGCTTTCTAGCTTTTACTCAAGGGTGAGTTGTTTTTTAGTTTGGTTTCATGGTGGAGCTAGCGTAAGTGGCTACAAATAGAGGAAGTAAAATGTTCATGTAGATAAAGTACTGTTGAAGAATAAATAATAACCTTTGGTACCTACTTTAATGTTCCTAGCTGCAAGTTATTCAGTGTATTGATGTGGCAGAGCAGGCCTTAACTGCCTTGGAGATGTTGTCACGGCGACACAGTAAAGCCATTTTACAGGCGGTAAGTGTTGTTGCTGAAGGACTGTATTTCCTTTGATGTTTATCTCAGAACTACATTGTGCTAGTTCCTTGTAGCTCTGGAAGAGGACATATTCCCCCAAAGTGATGTACTAGACATTTTAATAGTTATTTTTGGTAAAGAATATTTTCCCTTCATTTTAACAGTTTTCTGTATTTTAGGGTGGTTTGGCAGATTGCTTGCTGTATCTAGAATTCTTCAGCATAAATGCCCAAAGAAATGCACTAGCAATTGCAGCTAATTGCTGCCAGAGTATCACACCAGATGAGTTTCATTTTGTGGCAGATTCCCTACCATTGCTTACCCAAAGGCTAACTCATCAGGTAAAGTATGAATCTGTTTCCTATGCCTTGAAAGTGTTTTTTTTTTTTTTTTCCTTCCTTCTGAGGTCTTCTTAAGTGTATTATTATCCAGTCGCATTAATTAGGTTACTTTTTAATAAGATTTTTGGCAGATTTACTCAAATGATAGGTATTTCATTCAGTATATTTATATTGATAGCAACTATGACTTTGTAACAATTGAGATTTTCCTTTGTAAGGTCAGAATTTACTTTTAGAAGGATCTCTTTAAAAGGCATTGGGAGCGTGGGTTAAGACTGGAAGAGATAGGTTGTCTTGAAATAGAAATGAAAAGTGCAAATTCCACCTGTTGGGGTTGGAGGAGAGCAGAGTAGGTATGTAAAAGGTAAAACACCAGAAGTAGTTTAAAGAACAGAATTCATACCACAATTAAATGGAGGAGACTGAGCTGTCACATCTGGAGGTCAGAGAGAAACTGTTTTCTTGTACCCTTTACCAATAATGTTATTTATTACTAGAGACACTTTTTAAGGAATCAACTTTAAATTTGCTTCTCCAAATTATGTTAAGCCTTGTTAAAATTAGATGTACAGAATATGCTTAAGAGACATTTGTCTCTTACATTTCTATAATGATAGAGTAAAGGCATTAAATTTTTTTCTTTTCTTTGTGGGACAAGGGACAGCTTACAGTCCAGATTATCACTGAACTTCAATTATTTCAAGTCTACATCATACATGCCTAGTCAGTTTGTTTGTTTCTTATTTATTTTGGGGATATGGTCTTTCTATAGCCCTAGCTAGCTTAGATCAGTTGGCTTCTGGCCCCCAAATGTTGTGATTCAGGAATGCACTACCATGCCTGGTTTAATTTGTTTATTTTTCAAAAGCATAGTTCAAATTGAGATCATTTATATATTCTGTAATTCATTGTGAAAATCAATACTAACTAACATCCTTACTTCATAAATGAGAACCAAGAATCAGAATATTTAAATTAGTTGGCCGCTACTTTCTAGCTTGCTTTCTAGAGAATCTAGTAGCACCAAAGATGTACACTTTTGCAATTTGATTTATATTTTTACAGAAGGAAGCCTCATTGCTCCATTAATGAAGTAAACATAATATTGGTTTTGTTGTTATGAGGAACATTTACAGATGTTTCTTCAAGAGGACTTTATTTTTATAGCAAGTCTGTTCTAATAGCCAAATCTTTTTTTGGTTATCAGGAACTTCATTCCTTAGTGCTTAGGGCATTGAATCTGCTGATGGTGTCAAATTCATGAATCTTCAAGTCTCTATGCAAATGTTTTTTCTTTAATATTACTCACTACACTTTGCAGGTTTTTCTTTTCAAAGCTCACATCTGATAATGAGGTAACCTAGATTTGAGGCAAAGAAAGAACTAATTGACTGGTGGTGCTAACATTTTATATTAATAAACTTTATTTTCCTTTGTGAAAAATAGGACAAAAAGTCAGTAGAAAGCACTTGCCTTTGTTTTGCACGTCTAGTGGACAACTTTCAACACGAGGAGGTGAGTATCATCTTTGATAGTATATTTTTGAAGTAGTAGAATTGCTGAATTACAGCATAATAATTTCTCTTCTTTTGTTCATGAAGAATTTACTGCAGCAGGTTGCTTCCAAAGATCTGCTTACAAATGTTCAACAACTGTTGGTAGTGACTCCACCAATTTTAAGTTCTGGGATGTTTATAATGGTGGTTCGCATGTTCTCTCTGATGTGTTCCAACTGCCCAACATTAGCTGTTCAACTTATGAAACAAAGTAAGTGCTTTTTTATTACTGTATTTTAAGCTGTAAAAGTGGCTCTTCATACTCACAAGTCAACCTAAGTCACAAAAGTAAAAGAAATGATAAATGCTATTGGATATTGAAGAAGAAATATGATGAGGTCAGGACTGTAGCTCCGTGAGTGGTAGAGACTTAACTGACTGTCTGGGTGTTGGATATCCAGCAGTGCTAAAAACCTTTTCTGGTTTATTTATTTATTTATTTTTTATTTTATATATTTTATTTTACAATACCATTCAGTTCTACATATCAGCCATGGGTTCCCCTATTCTCACCTCCTCCAGGACAAGTCCTCCCCCGAGGGATAAGTTTATTAAGGTACACAATATTTTGGGGAACACAATACCACCACATTTCCTCTCTTTTTGTCTAAAATTTCTCGAGGTACGCTCAAGAAGGATACGTACCTCGAGAATGAAATTTAATTTTGTCTAAAATTAAAGAAAGCTTATAACTAATACAAAAAAATTATCCAATAAGTATATACAATATATACAATATTCCCTGAATACACTGGATAATTTTCCTTTAATATCACATTTTTACTACTTTTGCATATTCCAGGAAATTTCCTATATAGTATATGGAAGCCACTAGGCACATTTTCCTTCTATAGTGATAAGTAATTGTGAGCATGTTTATCTTTTTATGGGGTAGTATAAAAAAAAGAGCTACTTTCCTGATCACTTATAAAAATAAACTACACAACACAATTTTAAGGTCACTTTTTGTGGTACTGCAGAATGAAGCTTGATGCCTGTTGTATGATAAGGAAGTGGTCTGCCTCTGATCCTGTTCATGCCCATTAAAGCATCTTTGTAAAACACTAGAGTGTATTTGTATTACTTGATAAAGATAACAAAATGGTACCTTTCCAAGATAATAAAAAAAAAGTAATAGCTGGATTTATGCTTTTTCACATGTACATAATATGTATTAAAAACCCACTACAGCTAGCAGACACAGCTTTGTCTTAGGTTTTAGTGTTTACAGTGACTAAACCTCTGCATCTGAGTGATTATGGTGCTATATTCTCCAGAGACTGTTTCAGGGGAGTGGAAAGTTAATATGGAGAACATTTTAATTATGTTTGTTTCTTGAGTTAACATGTAAGTATCATGTAAGACAGGAATTACGAGCTTTAGATGCTTACCTCATAGGCCATGTACTTCCAGTATATTTGAAAGGAAGGTGGTAAGTGAATGAGTGTATTATGTTTTGTTGTTGTTGGCTTAACAGACATTGCAGAAACGCTTCACTTCCTCCTGTGTGGTGCCTCTAATGGAAGTTGTCAAGAGCAGATTGATCTTGTGCCACGAAGTCCTCAAGAACTGTATGAACTGACATCTCTGATTTGGTAAAGAATGGGGACATTTTCCTTGAGAGTCTTAATACCTACAGATGGTACAGAAAGTTACTTATTAAAATAATTGCACTTTTCATTTGCAGTGAACTTATGCCATGTTTACCAAAAGAAGGCATTTTTGCAGTTGATACCATGTTGAAGAAGGGAAATGCCCAGAACACAGATGGTGCAATTTGGCAGTGGCGGGATGACCGAGGTCTCTGGCATCCCTATAACAGGATTGACAGCCGGATCATTGAGGTAGTAGTTTCATTGTACCATTTAAATATGCCTATTTTTGTGGAGTGTGGGTGTAGGGATGGAATGGGGAGGTGGTTGTGTGTGTTTAGTGTGCTCAGTTTTGAATTAACTTAAGATTCTCTCATTTTGTCTCCTGAGAAAGAAGGCCCTCATTCTGTTGAGGTCAGAAAACATGATGTTCTAGTCCTGCTTCTGCTGCTAACTACCTGCTTGGCTTGGAGCAAGTAATCTAAGTTCTTTGTCCCATAGTTTTGTTTCCCAAAGGAAACACTGGAGGGTTAGACTATGTTTCAAAGCCAGGTCTATTATTTCAACCCAGAGGAAATCTCCCAATGTGTGCTTTTTATACTTAATGGAGGAAAAAGTGCAAACAAGTTAAATACCTGCCCCACGGTGAATACAGAAATGGTGAACCGTAGATTAGTATGTAATTCAGTATTAGTGTAATAGATTTTAATGATATAAATGAAAGCAGTGTTCAAAACAATAGAACTTTTGGCAACTTGATAGAAGAAACTGAGTGATACATTGGAGGAATATAACAAAATGTTAATGATGATTTTCCATGACAGTTGCTGTGGTTTCTGTTCATCTAATGTTGTTTGTAGTCACTGGAATAATAATCTTCAGTTTCTCAGATGACACAAAGACTTGGTGCTAGAAAAGCATTGCAACACTGGAGAGTCTGTACATTTTCTGCTAGCATTTTCCCCCCCACATTTGGGAGACAGGGTTTCTCTGTGTAGCTTCGGGGATTGTCCTGGATCTTGTTCTATAGACCAGGCTGACCCTGAACTCACAGAGATCCGCCTGGCTTGGCCTCCCAATGGGATTAAAGGCATGCGCCACCAATGCCCTGCTTCTGCTAGCATTTTTATACATACAAATAATTCTTCTAAATTTAAAACAATGTTTGAAATGCAACCAATTTCTCTTGTAAAGATGTACCTTAAAGATAAGTTCCTCCAATCAGTTTCTCAAGTCAGGAGTCCTTATAAAGGAACTCAATTCAGCACCAGTTTGTGATTTTATGAGAGTTAATTGTTGACTGGTCCCTTGTGCCACAGCTGCTAGTGTTCTTAATTTCTAACCTTAAGTGTTTTTCTTTTTAGCATTCTCCTGATAATTACATCTTCTCTATTAGTTTATTCTCTATTTCCAGATAGTTATTCCATTCTCTCTAGGAGTCTCCGCTTAGATTGATCTTTTAAATTAAGAGTATTTGTTTGTTTTTAAAGTCATAGGTTATGCTATATAATCTAAGCTGTCTTTGAACCTGGAAACCTCTTGACTTAATCTCCTGAGTGCTGGGATTCCAGGTGTGCAACAACCATATGTAACATATTTTGCAACTTCTCTAGGTTATCTGAATGGATTTTGCAAATTCTCTAGGTTACCCTTCTATGTAATGTTTGCAATTTAAGATTATTAATCTTAAATTTTAGGTGTGTTCCTTATAGTCTTAGAACAGCATTTAAATGTGAGGTTGTCTTGTTTACATAAGGACAATTCTACAAGGTATTTGGCTTAAGGAGAATTTTAGTAGGTTATTAGAAATTGATTGGGTAACAACTAGAGTTCTAAGGACATATATAAATTTCTTTCACAGTGCAGTTTCTTTTGAAATACAAATAGTATCTTCATGTCAATTATGCTCTATGACTTGGTATTTCCTAGACTTCTGTCTCAGAGATCTCAGGGCTAACGGTTTGGTTTAATTTAACATGATTTGTTAAACCAATGAGTTTTGTCATCAACAGTATTGTAATTTCCACATTCTGTCAGTTTACCAGCCACATAAAATAGATACGTAATGTAGCATGTGTGGAGGGTCCCCGCTGTGCTTAAGGTAATGAATTTCTACATGTTTATATTCAAGGTTTCTCTCTGTTTGCTCTCAGGCAGCCCATCAGGTCGGTGAGGATGAGATAAGCTTGTCCACTCTGGGACGAGTTTATACTATTGATTTTAATTCTATGCAGCAAATCAATGAGGACACGGGAACAGCACGTGCCATTCAGAGAAAACCTAACCCCTTAGCCAATACTAACACTAGTAAGTATCCTTTGAGTTAAGTAGCTATGTACTGTTGGAATTTATTTTAAACTGATTTTGAGTATGCTGTGTGGGTATACATGTTCTTCAACATGCATGTGGAAGTCAAAAGAGTAACTTGAAGGAGCCATGTTTCTTCTGCCATGTAGGTTCTAGCCTTTAGCCTTGTCAAGCTGGAACCTGTAATATTTTCTTTTTTATTAGTAATTGTTTCATTGAATATCCTTTGAGCAGGGTAAGATAGTTGTGGTGCTCACGTGAGGCAAATTCCAAAAGCCTGGGTGGCTTCCACCCTCAGCCTCCTCACTGGCTGCTATGGGATGCTTCCTGCACTTACCCCACTTCCCTGTCTCGTCTTTCCTGTCTTTTTTAAAGTTCCTCCCCCTCCTGGGGCCCAAACACTTACCCATTCAGCCCTTAATCTCCCAGGACTGTTTTCCTTTCTTTGCTTCCTCTTCCTGTCGGACACCTAAATATGCCTGCAGAGTTTTTTATAACCCAGAGAACCTCCACGGTTCCATTCTCGAAGAAAGGGGGCAGCTGAGTCCAGTCTCAGTTATATCCTTCTGAGGTCTTGAATGTAGTTGAAGACTAGATAGTTATAATTTCCTTAGTTACGATAAAAGATAAGTTAGATATGAAACCTTAGACTCACAAATATAGGATAGAGAGGATATCTTCTTAAATTTTGCCAAATACAAATAGACTAATTATTATAAATAGACTAGATATTGTAACTGTAATTCTTGCTTGATAATTGTTTTGGTATATGCAATTTTACTATGTTAAAGTTAAAACCTTACTTTTTGAAAAAAGTTCGTTCTGTGGATATTGCTTTGTATGCTGTGAATGTGTTGCTCTGATTGGTTAATAAAGTACTGATTGACCAGTAGCCAGACAGGACGTATAGGCAGGACAGAGAGCAGAATTCTGGGAGCAGGAATACTGATTCAGGAGTTGCCAGCCAGACACAGAGGAAGCAAGATGTGAAGGTAGAACTGAGAAACCGTACCAAGCCACATGGATAAGCATAAATAAGAATTATGGTTAATTTAAGTATAAGATCTAGCTAGCAAGAAGCCTGAGCCATTAGGTCAACAGTTTTAATTAATATAAGTCTGTGTGTTTATTTGGGTCTGAGCAGTGGACACAGGAAACTCCAGCTACATAGTTGAGTAATGGTGATATAATTCACTAAAACCTGTTCATCAGTTATTATGAATAAGCCAGTAATACTACATGTATGATGTCTTTCCCACTAATTTTTCTTCTTCTTTTTTTTTTTTTTTTTTTTTTTTTTTGGTTTTTTCGAGACAGGGTTTCTCTGTGTAGCTTTGTGCCTTTCCTGGAGCTCACTTGGTAGCCCAGGCTGGCCTCGAACTCACAGAGATCCGCCTGGCTCTGCCTCCCGAGTGCTGGGATTAAAGGCGTGCGCCACCACGCCCGGCCTAATTTTTCTTCTTTAAGTGATCGGATACCACACCCCCAGAAAAGGTCTGGGTAGTAAATGTTAGAAGCTTCATAAGGTATACAGCCTTTGCACTATTTAATACTATTGTAGTTTCAAAGCTGTCCTATTATAAGACATAAACAAATGTACTTTATGGGGGAAGAGAAAGATGTGTAACCATAATTGGCCAAACTCTTGTTCATAGTCTTCATCAGTTCCATTCTCCTTATACATATTCTTTGTGAACAAAATAGCAAAAATTACCTTGTTTATTCAGTTTTTTTTGATAGCTTTTATCTGAGTAACAACTCCATTTCTTATAACCCTCATTTTTGTAGCTCGTATTTTAGTGAGTTAGTATTGAAATTTCCCTAGTGTCTGTTAGATTATGCTTTAGCACAAAGAAGAGGTCTCCTTAGTACACTGATTACACTAATGGTTTCTGCTGGTTAGAGTGGTCAGTGCAGTAATCTCTTAATATTAGGTAAGTTAATGTTTGTTCTATAATAAAAAACATTTGCATAGTAGTTGCTGGGCTGAATACTTGTAAAAACCAATTGCTTCTATTCTAGTTGGTCAGTTGGTCAGTCACTTCAGGACAGTAATTTTTTTTTTTTAAAATAACAGGTGGATATTCAGAGTTAAAGAAGGATGATGCTCGAGCACAGCTAATGAAAGAAGACCCGGAACTGGCTAAGTCTTTCATTAAGACCTTATTTGGTGTTCTCTATGAAGTGTATAGCTCCTCGGCAGGACCTGCAGTCAGACATAAGTGCCTTAGAGCAATTCTTAGGATAATTTATTTTGCTGATGCTGAACTTCTGAAGGATGTTCTGAAAAATCATGCTGTTTCAAGGTGTGTTCATGAAAATATTAAAATGATTTAGAAATTTAAATCTAAAGTTATTTTTAGAAATTTCTAAATCACTACAGAAAAAAATGAAGTTTGGAATGTCTTGAATAATTTTTAATGTCTATTTTGGCGTAATCATAATTTTAAAAATCTAACTGAATTTAATATAAATTAGAGTTGTTATAATAGAGTACAATTTTGTTCTTAAATTTTAAGTAGTATGACCAAAAATAATCACCAACTTCAGATAGTTCATACACAAATGTTTTGTTTTTTAGTCACATTGCTTCCATGCTATCAAGCCAAGACCTGAAGATAGTAGTTGGAGCACTTCAAATGGCAGAAATCTTAATGCAAAAGTTACCTGATATTTTTAGTGTTTACTTCAGAAGAGAAGGTAATGCCTTTTTCTTCCCCTCCCCCCCATTCTTTTTGAGAAAGGTTTTCTCTATGTAGTCCTGGCTGTCCTGGAATTTGCTCTGTAGACCAGGCTGGCCTCAAACTCAGATCTGTCTGCCTCTGCCTCCTGAGTGTTGGGTTTAAAGGTGTGTGCCACCACCACCTTTAATGGTCTAGATAGAACTTGATGTGGCATATTCAGTGTCTGCAAGGAAAGTATTATGTTTAAGAGCTCAATTATATGTTTAAAAGTATATGTATCTTTAAGAGCTCAAGCATAATCAGTGTTTCATGTGTAGTATGTGTATATTGTATAAAGTACATGAAGATTGAGATTCACTGTCACTGATGATATTAGTCATTTTCAGTGATCTCCCTGCCTTGCCCCGTGCCCGACCCCAGTATATGCTCAAGTTTGGGAGCAGTCAGACTTAAAAGTATAGTTGCTATCTTTCAGTCTATAGTGATTCTTTGAATAAGGTTGCAATGCATCATAGCAGTAGATGAGAACAATTCAGGATTTATTTTATCATTTATTGGGTTGAGAATGTACATGACTAGTGCCATAAGAGGGCATCAGATTCTCTGAAACTAGATTTAACAGGCTTTGATGTGGGTGCTGGGAATTGAACTCAGGTCCTCTGAAAGAACAGGCAGTACTGTTAACCATTGAGCCATCTCTGCAGCTCTTGATCACTTTTTTTTTTTTTGTACCTTTTATTGGTAATAGATATTTTTTTCCTCACATAATACATCCTGATGACTGTTTCCCCTCCTAGGTCCTCTCCACTTGTTCTCCCATCAGGATCCACCCCCTTTTTGTCTCTTACTAGAAAGCAAACAGGATAATAATCAAATAAAAGTTAAACAAGAAGTAACACATCAGAAGAGGACATAACAGAGGGAAAGGACAACAAAAAGCACAAAAAACAGAGATGTAGAGACCCACTCGTTCATATACTTAGGAATCACATAAAAACACTAGTGTGAAAGCCACAATATATATACAAAGGATGAGAGAAGAAAAAAATGTAAGAGTAAATAGAAAAAAAAAAAATAGGGACTTTCAAAGATGATGTTGAGTTCATTTTTTATTGACCATTGGCTGCTGGGCCTGCAGCATGTCTCTGAGTGAGACTCCCTTGGAGAATACTAGATTTTTATCTGCAAGTGCAAATAGCTTCTGGGCCGCTTTCAGGGCTAGAGATGGCACTAGGCTCCATGTGGTGCAACCCATGCAGGCCTGTGCATGCTGCCCCAGTCTGTTGTCTGTTGTTTAGAGAGCCTTAATTCCTTGATGTCCTTCATCCTGTCTGACTTTTAAATTACTTCGATCACCTCTTCCGCATGGTTCCCTAAGCCCTGAGGGGAAGGATTTGATGGAGTTGTCCCATTCAGGCTGAGTGTTCCAAAATCTCAATATCTCTATAATGTCTAGCTGTGGGTTTCTGTATTTGTTACCATCTGCTGCAGGAGGAAGCTTCTTTTTGTTTTGGTTTTTTGAGACAGGGTTTCTCTGTGTAGTCCTGGCTGTCCTGGAAGTTGCTCTTTAGACCAGGTTGGCCTCAAACTCAGAAATCCACCTGCCTCTGTTTCCTGGGTGCTGGTTAAAGGTTTGCAGCAGAAAGAGAAAGCTTCAGGTGATGGTTGAATAAGGAATGGTCTACTTCCCTGGTTAGAGTCATATTTCTTATATTGGGTTTTTAATCTTTCTGTGTTTTGAAAATATTATAAATAGGCCAATACCGTACTAGAAACATAGTATATGCCTTAAATCCAAAAGAGGGGCAGGTCTCTTGATTTCTAACCTAGCTAACATAGTAAGACTCTCTGAGTAACTAAATAAAATTAGCTTTGTTCAACTAACAACGTGCTAAAAAAGAAACGCAACAGTAGGAATTGATGTTAAAGACAAAGCATTATTTTTCCATTACTTAAAGTTAGCTGCTGCTAACAAGTCAGGTATTTGTGTGGGCGCACATTTAATTTTTTGGTTTAGAAGTATATGAGATCCCCTTGCCCATTTTCATCTCCATCCCATGCCAAGTCATTTTTGAGCTTAGAGACTCTGCTATACCATCAGATTCTATTTTGGACCCTCAAATATCTGTGGCATATACATAATGGTGTTGATTGTGCATGGCTAGGTCGTGCTACTCAAAAGACTAGAATTTAAATGTTAACTTCTTCCTGAAGGTCTTGTTTTTCTCCCAGATTAAGCTTGGTTCTCCTATAGTGTGCTCTAACTTGCTGTATTTCTGTTTTATGAGCTAATCATTAATTACTGTAATCCTTTGGAAATTTATCATTTTTAGTCATTTAGTCTTCTGGGTGCTTTTGTCTTGCCTCTTACTATGTCCTCAGTACTTTGCATAGCTTGGCCTAAAACACATTTTTGTAGCAAGTGCCTGAAGTATAAAATGTGCCACCCCCTTCCCTTCCCTCCCCTTTCCCTTTCCCTTCCCCTTCCCTTCCCCTTCCCTTCCCCTTCCACTTCCCTTTCTGTTTTCCTTTTCCCCCCTTTCCCCTTTCCTTTTTTTCTTTTCTTTCTTTATATAATGGAAGCCGGTTATGATAGTGCCCACCTTTAAGCCCAGCATTTGGGAGACAGAGGTAGCCAAATTTTTGTTAGTTTGAGGCTAGCCTAGTCTTCATAAAAAATTCCAGTAAGCCAGAGCTACATAGACCTCAACAATTAACAGCAAACAAAAAACCCTAAACAAAGTAAAACAGAATCTAATGGAAGATTAGGACCCCTTAACAATGTTTATACAGTCATACATAATTCCTTCCACAGATTTTCATGTATTTAACACTAACTCTCTTGGATATCTGTGACTGTGTCTCCTATCACAATAAGAACTCTTCAGTTTTCCTTACTCTGACCGTGTGGCAACCACCACCTTACAATAGCCTTTAATAGATAGCAGTGTTATTACAGTGTTCTCCTTGTGGCCTAGCCATCTTTTTCCTTTCTGGTTATCATATTGTGATATGTGCTGTTTCTCTTTGTTTTACTATTGTTTTTAAAATGGATATTTTCTACTTTGTGTAGCACTGTTTTATATGATTTTGGTTTGAAGATTAGAAGATAATCAATAAAAATACCTTTCAAGTTTATTTATTTTTAAAAGATTTTTTTTCATTATGAAAGTAGTGTTCTACCTGCATGTATGCCTGTATGCCAGAAGAGGGCACCAGATCTCATTATTAGATGGTTGTGAGCTACCACATGGGCACTGGAAATTTAAGTCAGGACCTCTGGAAGAATAGCCAGTGCTCCCGGCTTTATTTCTAGTCTATCAGGCTTAATATTTAGGAGTTTTGTAGTGATGGGGGTTGTTCTTAAATAACTGACCTCTTTTTGTTCCTCTTTCTGTTGAAGGTGTCATGCACCAAGTAAAACATTTAGCAGAATCTGAGTCTTTGTTGACAAGTCCACCAAAGGCCTGCACAAATGGGTCAGGATCCCTGGGGTCTACAACACCAGCCAGCAGTGGGACAGCCACGGCTGCAACCAATGCTTCTGCTGATCTGGGGTCACCCAGTTTGCAGCATAGCAGAGATGATTCTCTGGACCTGAGCCCTCAAGGGTGAGTTTCGTTGTGATCTTAAAAATACTTTGCCTTTATCTATGTTGATATCTATGACTCCTGCTGAGAATAAAATACCTGAGAAGGACTTTTTTGTGGTGGTGTGGATTGAGTCTGCAGCCTCAGCCATTACTTTCACCACTGAAGTATTTTTCTCAGCCCTTCTACTCTTTGAAATGTAAAGGAAATAACTTCAGGAAAGCTACTTTACTGGGCCCTGTGTTATAGGTACATGAGATATATGTACATTATTCACATTGGTACCCAAATGAAATGAGGTGAAGACACATTAGGGTTTATTCACGCGTATCATAGATTATCTTAGCCTTTCTTTCTCATTCCATAATTTTGTAATTATTTCTATTACTGCATATGTGCCTTTGTGATACCCAGGTATTGATACAGTGAAAATTTCAAAATTAGAAACTATAAACTAGGTGGCCAAACTTGGCTTCTCATTTAGCTTTAATTCTCAATCACATGACTATTTCTTAAAGATTAAATGGTAGTTCTTAAAGTCATTTGTGCCTCTTTTGCTGTACTATGTAGGATGTTGGGAAACTTTGGTTTTTTTGTTTTTAATTGTTGTTGCATTAGAAGATCACACATTTAGGGCTGGGAAGATGGCTCAGTGGTTAAGAGTACTGGCTATTCTTCCAGAGGTCCTGAGTTCAATTCCCAGCAACCACATGGTGGCTCACAACCATCTGTAATGAGATCTGGTGCCCTCATCTGGCCTGCAGGGATACATGCAGACAGGACACGGTAGCTGTATACATAATAAAATTTTTTTTTTTTTAAAGAGCACACATTTAAGTGGTCTTATTTCTTTTATGTTAGAAACTGGAATGTTGCCAAATGAGTTGTACATGATAAGCCATATTCATTCCTGTATGAATTCAGTGTAATCATACATATTTTTCCTTTTTCTGTATAATACATCTTAAAATTTTTTTACAAAAACTTTTGTTATATGTATATGGGTGCTTTTGCCTACATGTATGGTTCTGCATCATGTTAATGCAGTGTCTTTGGAGGCCAAAAGAGGATGCTTGACCTTCTGGGACTAGAATTACAGGTGGTTCTGAGCTGTAGGTGTAGGTGCTGGGAATTGAACTCATGTGGCTTCTAGGAATCTAAGCTAGTAAACTTGACTGTGGAGTCAACTTTCCAGCTCCTGTAAAATACATCTTGGTAAAATATTCTCACTGGGATCCTAAAATTAAATCATGTATACCTTAAAGAACCCATCATGTGCATTTGTCTAGATGGCTGGGTGATCAGGTACTTGAAGGAAGAGTCACTTTGGCTGCCACCCTGTGGCAGTTATATACTTTAGCTTAAATAAAATGTCTGGTTTGGGCTGGTTGTTAATTCAGAAAAGTGGGTGAGTTTTTGCTTTTCATTGTGTCAATTGGCCAAGTTTCCTAAGATCAGGCTTTGAGCCTCTTGAACTTTTTAACCTTTCCATCTATGATGATGTTGTATTTGTCTCCCATTTACCCTTGTACCTCCATCTCACCTCTTCTCTATACTCTGGTCATTACAGTAACCCTAACAGGGTTTTGCTATAAAATGTTCACTTGATGCCTGAGATGTGCCCCATGAGTTTCAGGATGCTGTGAGATAGCTCAGACAGTTGTGATCTATCTTTTGTGTGGGAGTGGTGATGACAGGGTTTCTCTATTTAGCCTTGCCAGTTTCAGTAAGGGAGTAGTTGTTTATTATACAATCTAATTGTATGATAAATTATACAATTCTTTTTTCAAAGAAAGCCTTTCTTTTAAAATACTTTGTCTTGAGTTGTTTCATATTCCCTGGTTTTAAATCTTGATATGTAGCATTGGCTCGTTTGGAACCCACTATGAAGACCAGGCCTTAGTTTTACTTTTGTTATGTGTGTGGGCCTTAGTATATGTTTGTGTACCATAAATGTGCAGGTACCTTCAGAGGCTAGAAGAGAGTGTCACATGCCCTGGGATAAAGTTGTGAGCCTCTATGTGGGTGTTGGGAACAGACCCCAATTCATGGAAAAGAATTTTAACTGTTCAACCATTTCTTCAGCCCTCCACATGAAAATTGTTCATTTTCTTTTTTTTTTTAATTATTTTGTTTCGTTTATTTCACAATACCATTCAGTTCTACATATCAACCATGGGTTCCCCTCCCATCCCCTCCTGTTCCCCCCAGCCCAACCCCCATTCTCACTTCTTCCAGGGCAGAGCCTCCCCTGAGGACTGAGATCAACCTGGTAGACTCAGTCCAGGCTGGTCCAGTCCCCTCCTCCCAGACTGAGCCTAGCGTCCTTGCATAAGCCCCAGGTTTCAAACAGCCAACTCATGCAATGAGCACAGGACTGGTACCACTGCCTAGATGCCCCCCAAACAGATCAAGCCAATCAACTGTCTTCACCTATTCAGAGGGCCTGATCCAGCTGGGGGCCCCTCAGCCTTTGGTTCATAGTTCATGTGTTTCCATT